GAACCACGTGAATATCGAAGACAGCCCTGAAATTTCCCACATATTGCATGGAAATAAACCTGTTAAATGGAGGAACTATCTTGGAACAGCCTGGTCTCATAGACTAGACGTAACATAGTAAACTTAAATCTGGGACATGCCAAGGAGTATGATATGTTACGTTTGGTATGGTTACATAAGACATAAGGTTACTTAAAGCAAAAACTAAAAGAGAGTGGTTGGTCAGGGTGGATGGGTGGGCATATAACTTGAACGTCTAGCAACCTGAACGTTGCGTGTTTGAATCTCGTCACAGACAACTTTAGCATTTTAGCAACTTTGTAACCTCTTACTACTTTTTAGATACTTTGCAACTACTTACCATGTTAGCTAACCCTTCCCCTTTAATCTAAATGCTAACCTTAACCCTAACCTTAACCCCTAACCCTAACCCCTAGCCTAGATAACGTTAGCCACCTAGATAACATTAGTGTTAGCCACCTAGCTAATGATAGCCACAACAAATTGGAATTCGTAACATATCATACGTATTGCAATTTCGTAACATTGTACGAATTGCAATAAGTAACATATCATACAAATTGTAATTTGTAATATACTAAACGGATGATGGACATCCACAAATTAATACATACCATACGAAAAGTAACATATCATACTAAATGGAGGGAGACAGATTTATTTTACTATTTTATATCTACCCCTGAATCCAGGTTGCTTGGAAACCCTCCATCCAATGTCAAGACAATACAACATCTTCAAACTTTTGCATCATAATACTATGGAAAACATATTTTTCAGAGATGCTGTAGTATAAGTAATAAATGCAACTCATGGATATCTATATCTATTTCTATTTTAAATCCTCAAATGGGCAAAGACATGGAGATATTTATTGCTAACAAGCTTCCCAGCGCTGGTATTTTTTTAACAACATAATTTACAGTTTATAGTGCTTCATGTTACTTCCTTTCTATTCAATCTCAGTTAAATAAACAATGACAGGAATTCTTAGACTATTTGAATATCAGTGGATACAAATATCCAGTGTTGGGAATAACGTGTGACCGTGATAATTCTCTAAGTGTTAATACATTTGTGTTTACATCATTAAGCCTTTATGTATGTTTTAAGAATGACCAAAGGTGTCTGACTTTATAGTAAGTACAGCGTCATATGATACAAGGCATGTATGTATGTGTTATAAATGACCAAAGGTGTCTGACTTTAAAGTAAGTGCAGCGTCATGCGATATAGAGTCTTTATGTATGTGTTATGAATGACTGAAGGTGTCTCACTTCAAACTAAGTATTACAGGACACTACATAATAAATAGGTTATTGACATTCTGCTGATTTATGAAGGTTCTCTCTTGATCCACAAGTTACTGTAGGGTGTGAGAGGTATTTAAATGGGTTGATGGACCTGCAAAGCTTGCGTTTGTGTGTATGTGTGTACGAGCCAAGATGATTTGGAGTAGTCCAACCTGAAACTACAGCACCAGGTATTCCCATTCTGTTCCCATGCTGGAGACCAGGGCTTTATTACTACCTGTTACAATGGTGCCAACATTTTGTGGGTGATCTTTCAGCGGAGGAGTGGGCGAATGTGTTAAAGTCCTGACTGGGCCCAGCACCGCACGGTATGGCTCGTTATATTGTTATGTGTGTGTTTGTGTACTGAGGGACATGGAACTTTGTTCCAGAAGAAAGCTACTTTCAATTTCCTCATGTTGGGGGCTTTCATCAAGGTAAGTGTTTCTTGGTGTAACGTCGTCCCCAGGCTATTGTGCACACATAAGCCTGGGATATCAACCACTCAAAGTTGGCCTTAGTGGGAGTGACCATAGAATTCTATGGGAGTGACCTTACAGAGTAAGATATTTTGCTAGCAAAAACATTCCCCTTGGTCATCACTAGTTAACACAGCCACATAATAAAGTCATAATTATGGCTAAACCCTGCCAATTTCTGCAATTTCTCTTCTTAAAATTAGATTTTAAACCTAACCCTAACTAATGATGGCCAAGTTGCGTGTTCGAATCTTGTTACAGAAAACTTTAGCATTTTAGCTAATTAGCAACTTTTCAACCACTTACTACTTTTTAGCTACTTTGCAACTACTTAGCATGTTAGCTAACCCTTCCCTTAACCCTTTAACCTAAATCCTAACCATAAGCATAACCTTAACCCCTAACCCTAACCCCTAGCATAGCTAACGTTAGCCACCTAGATAACGTTAGTGTTAGCCACCTAGCTAACGATAGCCACAACAAATTGCAAATTCGTAACATATTGGGTCAATTGCATTTCGTAATATACTAAATGGAGCCTTTATAAGCTGAACGTCATTTAAAGCGGGACCCTTTTGGTCTGTAACAATGTAAAGTAACGAGTTACGTTTTCAAAATTGGGTTTATTACAGTTGCTTAGTAATGCGTGTGTTACCTTTACATTACTTTCAGAAAATATTGTTGTTTTCATGATCCAATCTCAACTTTTTTCCTCATTTAGTTCTCGAGAGAGTGGAAAAAGCTATTTGGAGAACAGTCATGACAGCTGTCCATAAAAATAGATAGAGGTCGCACCTCTGATCTTTGCTGTTGATCACTTCTAACCCTAACCCTTTTCCTAACCTTAACTTCATTCTCCTAATCTGACCTTTTCATTTGAGTCGAGATTCACAGAAATAATCTGGAACTGTTCGCTCCTGAATTTCATTCCTTTGAAAAGCATGCACTATAGACTACCCTTCTACGTTTTGATCAACGTTAACGTCTTATGGATCTGACAATTTTTTCCAATTTTTGCATAAAATGACATACCCAAATCTAACTGCCTGTAGCTCAGGACCTGAAGCAAGGATATGCATATTCTTGATACCATTTGAAAGGAAACACTTTGAAGTTTGTGGAAATGTGAAATTAATGTAGGAGAATATAACACATTAGATCTGGTAAAAGATAATACAAACAAAAAAACATGCATTTTCTATTTATTTATTTTTTCATCATCTTTGAAATGCAAGAGAAAGGCCACAATATAATATTGCAGTTTAGGCGCAATTTAGATTTTGGCCACTAGATGGCAGCAGCAGTGTGTGCAAAGTTTCAGATTGATCCAGTGAAGCATTGCAGTACTGGACTATTTTGTATCAAGTCTGCCCAAATGTGCCGAATTGGTCAATTGATACATTTTCAAGTAAATAACTATAGAGAACATACAAAAATGATATGGTAACACAAAATGTAAGTTTACACACTGACTCCGGGAACAGCAAACTCGGGAGACCTAACTGAATGTAAGTACATTTTTTACCTTCAGAGGTGAATGTATCAAACCAGTTGCCAAGATACGTTTTTTGTTGTTGTGCACTCTCCTCAAACAATAGCATGGTATTTTTTCAATATAATAGCTACTGTAAATTGGACAGTGCAGTTAGATTAACAATAATTTAAGCTTTCTGCCAATATAAGACTGCATCGCAGTGCCTTAGACCACTGCGCCACTCGGGAGACCTAACTGAATGTAAATAAATTTTTTACCTTCAGAGGTGAATGTATCAAACCAGTTGCCAAGATACGTTTTTTGTTGTTGTGCACTCTCCTCAAACAATAGCATGGTATTTTTTCAATATAATAGCTACTGTAAATTGGACAGTGCAGTTAGATTAACAATAATTTAAGCTTTCTGCCAATATAAGACAAGTCTATGTCCTGGAAAGTTTGCTGTTACTTACAACAGTCATGCTAATCACATTAGCGCACGTTAGCTCAACCCTCCTGTATATGGGACACCGATCCGTAAGAGGTTAATATTAGCTCATATTTCCACCGTTTGGTTATGAGCACCTCAAATTCTAGACCCGTTAAAGGGGCAATCTGCCGTTCAAACACTAACAAAGAGGTCAACCCGCAACTGGGAAGGGGCTGGAGAAATTTAACCACAATCAAATTAATTGACAGAGCTATGGATACAAGCACTGACCATCCATAATATAAACAAATTATAGTTTTAATGTATTGAGGCTATACAGTGTTTGTTTACAATTACATTGTTCACTAACAATGGAGTAAAACAAGCTTATATTTTGGTTTCTGATGAGGCATTTATAAATGATCTTCTTCAAGAATCAATGATATGCTATCATTAATTTAAAATTCCCAAAATAATTTAACCCTTCTCCTACAATTTCCGCGGCCCCAGGAAAATCGAATTAACATAATACAAAATCCACATAAAAATCTGTCTGTTTAAGCTAGAGATATGATTTTTTGCATGGGCTTCATCTCAATCCACCGCATCCGCCGATATCGCCCTTCCGCATCTGCAGTGAAAGGTGGCAGATCTAGAGCGGTGTTTGTCAGACCATCCGACATCCCGAAAATCGGTCTTCTCACAAAAACGTCTGTAGCGTCCGAACGGTTTGGCAGAAACTGCGTTGAAAATTCCACATAGAAATTGTACACATATTTTTCATCCTATATTCAATTGGGTTGATTGAAATTATGTGGAATTTGTTATTTTATTTGACTTATTTTATTTGGTATGTTGAAATAAAATGTGAAGCATCAGTCCTTTGATTTCTGCCTGAACAGTGACTCCTACTAACTCTATGTACCCTGCTTAGCTTCATAAACAAGCTGTGTTCATTTCAGCTGAGCTGTCATGTCAACATATCTAGACATTGATGAGCTTCTATACTCATTTGTGTAGACCTAAATAACATTGAATAGTTGAAACTAACTCCTAACTTTTCTTACACAAGCTGTATGTGAAGATCTTGGACCAGGAAAGGTATTTATATTGATAATAAACTGATAGAAGATGTAAGAAGATGTAGTTGTATGTCTCGTCAGACCAGCCATAAAATTGTGAATGATGATTTCAACAGAATTGTATCAGGCTAAATACAGTTTCTACACGTTTTAGTATTTTGACATTGTTTTGTAGGGTGGGGTGACAGATTAAGTCACACTGACGGCCTACATCACTGCTTCAATGCTGGAGCTCAACATGTCAGTGTCGGTAAGTAGCATCTCCACATAACCATTGTTTCTCACTACAACAATGTCCATTACAGGCAACTGAATTAGCCTCCTATATGAAGACTGTTGTGTACCTCTTACATCAACTGTCATCTAAATGTAATGAGTTGTGTATTGTGTATTTAAAATTCAAAGTTAAATAATGTTTTTCCCTCAAAGTAGCCTATGCAATAAGTATAAGAATATGTTACCATAAGCAGATCTAAATGGTATTGTGCTGTTAAAACTGAGTAGGCTTAGTTACTACTGTAAACTGAAAAACTAGAAGTGCTTCAGCATGAATATCTGTAGCCTAGTCCCAGATCTGTTTGTATTGTCATGCCAGTACAAACAGAGCTGGGACCAGGCTAACATGTCTCTTAACGTGTTGCTCTGTTAGTCTGTGCTCCAGGATCCTGTTGTGTATGGCAGCTTGTCTTGCCTGAGGAACTCCACCAGTGATTTGTCCAACACCTACACTACTGCTCTGCTGGCCTACACCTTTACCCTGGCAGGGGACATGGAGACCCGGGCCCAGCTTCTGCAGCACCTGGACACGATCGCATTACAAGAGGGTGAGACATATCCTGGTCCAAGATCTGTTTGTGCTATCTTGACTTAATAGAGTTAGTCAATGGAGTAATCCCAATAGTGCAAACCCTCCGCCCGTCTGGCTCTCCAAATAGGCCCAATCAAACACCCAAAGCATTTTATAGAACACTAATAAAATTTGAATTCAGTTTTTGTCCAAAAATTCATTGTGGGGGTCAGAGAAGAACTGTGTATCCTGTATAGTGATGAATAAGCTAGCCCCAATTTTCTCTCTCTGTGTGTTTGTGTGTGTTTGTTTGTGTGTGTGTTTGTGTGAGTTTGTGTGTGTGTGTGTGTGAGCGCGCGCACTCCTCGTCCCTCAGGGGGTCTCCTGCACTGGACTCAGACCTCCTCAGAGACCTCAGCCTCCCTGGCAGTGGAGATCAGCTCCTACGTTCTGCTGGCTTCCCTCAATGCCTCCCCTCTGTCTACCACTGACCTGGGCTACGCCTCCCGGATCGTCAGGTGGCTGGTGAGGCAGCAGAACGCCTACGGAGGCTTCTCCTCCACACAGGTATACTTCAAAACTCCTCTGGTCCGAAATGGCACCCTGTGCTGTGCACTAGTAATGAGGCATTATTACCTTGACTTTTACCAGATCACAGGCATGTGTGTGCTTCTTGTCATGTCAAGCCTGATGAGTCTAACTTCCACTGAAATGGAGCCTAGAAATCATAATGGATGGAAATGGGAAATAGTCACTCTAGGGACTGACCAATGTAAAAATCGACCCTTTCTGTAAAATGGGATAGCTTCATTCATTTTGAATATATTTGTCTGTGTTCTATTGGTGTTTAGGACACAGTGGTGGCCCTCCAGGCCCTAGCTCTCTACTCCACCAGGGTGTTCAGTAGAGAGGGCACCAGCACAGTGACAGTACAGTCTCCCAGTGGGGGACAGCACCTTTTCGAAGTGAACCAAAACAACAAGCTTCTCTACCAGGAGAGGGCGATGCAGGACACAGAAGGGAAGTACAGTGTGGAAGTGAAGGGCAGTGCTTGTGCCTCAGTGCAGGTCAGTGAATACACATCTCTCCTCCCAATCCTATGTTGCCAAAATACGGTTTAATCTATCACTAAAGCTACAGTCTGGGAATGTTTTTTCTGCAAAACAGCAGCCCTGTGCCACTTGATTTGGTATACAGCTGAGGCAGTGGAGGCTGCTGAGGGGAGGACGGCACATAATAATGGGTGGAACAGAGCAAATGGAATAGTATCAAACACATGGACACCAGTAAAGTAAATTCAGATTGAGGTTGGGTTTATGTAGGCTACATTGAAATCTGATTTGCCCAACAAAAGACACTATCATTTCAATGTGTAGCTAGATATACAGTAATATCATTCATCAATGGTTGAGTGGATCTTTGGAAGTTTAGAAGTAGTTGCCATTAGCCCTTTAAATAGGATGCCAAATTAATGATATTAATAATACACTTTGGATATTGTCTTATATATATATTATTCATACTATACAGAGGTAGTAATTTAATAGGATCTCTATGGCTACAGTATGATTTGTCAGACCAGGAGAAATCCCGAAAATTGGTCTTCTGAAAAAAACATCCAAATGGTTAGAAACTAATATGACCCCTCATATTGATGACACTCATGAACACTATGGTGTTCTCCATTTTGCTCTACGACCGCCACAAGTGTCATGGGACTTGTCTGAAGATAACCTGGTACCGGGCCAGAAAACTTGTGGAAATGAATAGGGCATTTCCATGTTAAAGGTATACGGGTAATCTCTCAGAAATCTGCGAATCTGTTTTTCTATGTATGAATCTGTTATTCAATGTTTCATCATATATTTTTTTGAAAGTATTTTTTCTTTATACCTACAAGGGTCCTAAAATTCCAAATCAAATAGCTAAATGATCCTTGGTATGACCATCTTAAAACAATTCCATATGTTAGCTTAGTAGAAATGCATCCCGGGCCCTTAGAATTTACTGGGTTAACACTGATTCCAGGTAGGCCTATCTGCAGCTCGATAAGGTCACACACACACTTACGTTACAGAACTGTCCTCATCACTTCTCATTGTCTCTTCAAAGAAGAGACCTGACGAGTAATCAATCCGACACTCGATCAGTCATATTTATCTGGGATTTCCCATAAGAGCGGAGTGGGATGCTCGTCAGTTTCCCGCAGTTCCATTGTGCTGCATAATGGTTTCTGGAGAACATGCATAAAGGGATCTGACAGGTGTGTGTGCCATGGTCACAGAAAAGTTCCAAAACCATTTGTTATTATTAGCACTGAATCAAACCATTATTGAAACCTACAACATTTTATTTCAATACCAAACAAGAGCTCTTATTCCCATAGGCCTTTTCTCTCCAAAGTAAACATGTTCCTGCCCCCTTGCAGCCTATAGGCTATATCCAAGTAATTTTTGCCTTATCAAATGAACCTTTATTCTCCTTGGTAAAAGTTTTGAAAAATACATTTAATCAAAATCAGTGTTTCTCTGAACATATTGTCTCTGGTGAGGCCAGGGAAAGGCATCGGGCATCACTCAGAAGCACTTGTGACGGACCACGTTGGACCCCATCTCTGGTTGCTCTGAGGCACTGACGCACATGTCTCCGAAGATAGAGAGAGAGGCCAAAAGGGAGCCCCCCAGCCAGGCAGTATCCACCACAGGGACTGGCCCCACGTGAGACCCTGGCGGGAGCCGAGGCCTCCTCCAGGACGGCGTTGTCCAGGAGCAGTGGTCGCAGGTCTGCAACACTCTCCAAAGCAGAGCTCACCAGGAGGCTGGGGATGCCTGGTGTCACCATGTTGATGGTCTGAGGAGAGAAGAGGATCTTGCTGCCGATCCTCAGCATCTGTCCACCTGGGAGCTTATAGTCCACCTCGACGCTGTCGATAATGGTTGCGGCTGTCTCTGAGGAGGGGTCAGTGGATACGTAACACATCTGCTACTTGATTTTGTTCATGGTGTCGTGTTCCTGTGTGGCGCTGGAGAACTGAGCTCCGGACTCCTTCAGCAGCAGAGCCAGGCGGGCTGTGACATCCTGCCTTCCCAGGCCCAGCTGACGCACAGCGTGGGGGAGGCAGTGGCCCTCAAACACTGGGACTGCGTGGGTGACGTCATAGCCACATGTAATGAACCTAGATCAATGGTTTCAATATCCAGCAGACAACGTATCACTTAAAAGTAGCTGGTTGCATCTGTTAAAAAACCAACCATATCAGAGTTTTAAAGAACACAATCTACTGTAGGTCTATAGCCACTTTAAAGCATTCCATTTCATAATTGCATGCCATAACTGCTCAACTGCACTACTTGAGTGTTTTAAGTACGGTGTATGGAAATAAAGTAATAATTTGTATATGGATATATTTACCAGCGCATAACCAAGTCAAATAGTATTCAGATTGTAGGCTAACACAAGGTTTCGATGGCACTTACAGTGGGGAAAAAAAGTATTTAGTCAGCCACCAATTGTGCAAGTTCTCCCACTTAAAAAGATGAGAGAGGCCTGTAATTTTCATCATAGGTACACGTCAACTATGACAGACAAATTGAGAAAAAAATTCCAGAAAATCACATTGTAGGATTTTTAATGAATTTATTTGCAAATTATGGTGGAAAATAAGTATTTGGTCACCTACAAACAAGCAAGATTTCTGGCTCTCACAGACCTGTAACTTCTTCTTTAAGAGGCTCCTCTGTCCTCCACTCGTTACCTGTATTAATGGCACCTGTTTGAACTTGTTATCAGTATAAAAGACACCTGTCCACAACCTCAAACAGTCACACTCCAAACTCCACTATGGCCAAGACCAAAGAGCTGTCAAAGGACAACAGAAACAAAATTGTAGACCTACACCAGGCTGGGAAGACTGAATCTGCAATAGGTAAGCAGCTTGGTTTGAAGAAATCAACTGTGGGAGCAATTATTAGGAAATGGAAGACATACAAGACCACTGATAATCTCCCTCGATCTGGGGCTCCACGCAAGATCTCACCACGTGGGGTCAAAATGATCACAAGAACGGTGAGCAAAAATCCCAGAACCACACGGGGGGACCTAGTGAATGACCTGCAGAGAGCTGGGACCAAAGTAACAAAGCCTACCATCAGTAACACACAAGCCGCCAGGGACTCAAATCTTGCAGTGCCAGACGTGTCCCCCTGCTTAAGCCAGTACATGTCCAGGCCCGTCTGAAGTTTGCTAGAGTGCATTTGGATGATCCAGAAGAGGATTGAGAGAATGTCATATGGTCAGATGAAACCAAAATAGAACTTTTTGGTAAAAACTCAACTCGTCGTGTTTGGAGGACAAAGAATGCTGAGTTGCATCCAAAGAACACCATACCTACTGTGAAGCATGGGGGTGGAAACATCATGCTTTGGGGCTGTTTTTCTGCAAAAGGACCAGGACGACTGATCCGTGTAAAGGAAAAAATGAATGGGGCCATGTATCGTGAGATTTTGAGTGAAAACCTCCTTCCATCAGCAAGGGCATTGAAGATGAAACGTGGCTGGGTCTTTCAGCATGACAATGATCCCAAACACACCGCCCGGGCAACGAAGGAGTGGCTTCGTAAGAAGCATTTCAAGGTCCTGGAGTGGCCTAGCCAGTCTCCAGATCTCAACCCCATAGAAAATCTTTGGAGGGAGTTGAAAGTCCGTGTTGCCCAGCGACAGCCCCAAAACATCACTGCTCTAGAGGAGATCTGCATGGAGGAATGGGCCAAAATACCAGCAACAGTGTGTGAAAACCTTGTGAAGACTTACAGAAAACGTTTGACCTGTGTCATTGCCAACAAAGGGTATATAACAAAGTATTGAGAAACTTTTGTTATTGACCAAATACTTATTTTCCACCATAATTTGCAAATAAATTCATTAAAAATCCTACAATGTGATTTTCTGGAGAAAAAAATTCTCATTTTGTCTGTCATAGTTGATGTGTACCTATGATGAAAATTACAGGCCTCTCTCATCTTTTTAAGTGGGAGAACTTGCACAATTGGTGGCTGACTAAATACTTTTTTCCCCCACTGTATCTACTACTCTCACAACAAACATTCAACCTATGATATTCAACATCGTGGAGAGTGCAGAGCGTGAAACAGCTGCTAGGCACAAGTAGAAATTGTTCACATTGTAGGCTATTTTAACAATTTATGTGCACAACATGGCATGAATTCGGAATAAATATAGCAATTTACATAGAGGTGGGGTGGATGGGGCCACTACGTTTTTCATGTTGCCTGAAGAAAATATGACAGAGAATTAACGAAAGTCATACTCTTCGCTGCTACGTTTTTCTGCGATACAACTTTTGATTAAGGTAGGGTGGGGGCAGGAGTCAGGCTATCTACTGCTACTAACCTTGAAATGCGATGCTTTCATAGTAGGAGTTATTGCATGGCCATAGATTTTTCAACTAACCTGGTTTTGGCAATACTTTCTTCGTTCTCAATGAATTTTCTCTGTTTTTTGTAGAACCACCTGCAACTGGACATTAACATGTATAAGATACACTTTTTCCAAATTAAGAACAAAGGAAGTATGGCCAAGACCAGGTTAGTTGAACAATATTTTACAAATGAAAAATCTATGGAGGCGTTTTCCATTAACCAAGCAGTAACTCCGACTATGGAAGCATCACATATTGGGGTTACTAGCAGTAACTAGAGTCAGGCGGAATCAGGTGCAAAATGATAGGACAGGTGAATAAAACTGGATCCAAAGTATGTAGCCTAGGAGCCTACAAGACGTTGACGAACACCGACATAATTAGACTATTTTGTAATAATATGCTAAACAGATCAACTAAACAGCCAATTCCCTATGTTTGTTTAAGTTGGCTAATGCTAGACGCATCCTCTTGTTGCTAAAATATTTCCTAACCTGGATTGCATTTGTTGTAGCCTATAAAAGACCACACCGAGTAGAAATGTCAGGCATAATATTGTTATGTTTGTTTCTTATAGTTTGTTTGTTTGTTACATTGTATCGTCAACCTGTGGCCTAGGCCTACTCACCAC